TTCAGGATAACAAACAAATTTAATATAAAACGATCAGCAGGATAGAGGAAAAACAGAGTCGAGTTGTGTGATAAATTCACCCCACAGCGCTTGTGCCCCCGTACCGGCTGAAGTAGTGAACGGTTGGTAGGAGACATTCGCTCAAGAAAGAGAGGAGCGTTGAGGGGGATCTGGTGTGAAAAAACAATTGTCAACTTTGCTGAAAGAAGATAGGAAGAGAGAACAGACGCGAACTGCGGGAGGAAAACCGCATAAGTTCAGATGCTTAGGCGGTGGTGCAAAACAATTGTCAAGCCGCTCTGGACAAATAATTTCAATTTCTAACCACAAGGACGTCGGGACTGCCCAAATTCAGAGGAACTTGATGCTAGGGACGAGAAACGGACTCGAGAAGATACAATAATTAAGAAAAATGACGAGAAGACAGTGAATTGGAGAAAAGGGGAAAACAGGACAGAAGCGAATAACGGCAGTAATAGAAGAAGATGAGGATGAGGAAAATACGAATGAGAAAAATAATAGCAATGATGATGATAATAATAAGGCGAAGAAGAAGATGAAGAATAGTAACGTCACATGATACAGGTTGCTTTGCGCTTAGTTCTAGCGAAATTACTGTTAGGCTTAGGGTTATTGCTAAGGCTAAGTTTAGGGTCAAGTTAAAGGCCGTGGTTAGGGCTAAGGCTACAGTTAATGTTTGAGTTAGTGTTAAGACGTGGGGAATAGATATTCCCCCCGAATTTAGAGCAAGGCGCGTCCGTAGTTCCGCATCCTGCCGGGAAGGGGGGGGGAATGTGGCCCTGCTAGAAATCCTTGCCGAAAAACGAGTCAAAAGAATAGGAGCGGGAGGGAGAAGGGTCAAAAAGGAAAACATGAAGAGAAAAAAATAAGGAAAGGGAAGCGATGGGAGAAAATGAGGAACGATGGGAAAACGACGATAGAGAGAAATGGAAAAAATAAAAGCAGAGGGGGAAAGGGAAAAATAATATGAGCCATAGAAAGACGAAAGGAGAGTGGGGAGAGGGCGCGAAAGGAGAAGAAGCAGGATAGTATGAAAGAGAAGACAGGGAGGAAGTATGGAAGAGAAAGCGCTAGGAAAAAACACAAGGGGAGAATGAGAAGATTAAGTGTGTAGAAGAGGAGGGGAGATACGAAAAGGAGGAGGAGGAAGGGGAAGGAATACAAAAGCAATATGGGTTAGATGTGGTTATGTAGCCGCACCTGAGATAAATAAACCCCAGCCGCCTGTAATACGGGACCGATGGTAATAAGGGCTTTAACAGGTGGGGCCGGGGAACGCACAGGCGATGAGGTCAAGCAGTTGTGTGCAAAAGAAAAGCTATTGGGAATGCGCAGTTGCACTTTAAATGGTTGAGAAATAGTTGCCCTAGCCCCTAACCCTTGCCCTTACCCCTAACCTACCTAAACCCAAACAGTATTGTGTTCATCAGGTGCGGCTGCATAACCACATCTTACCAAAGTATTCTGAGGGGACAGTAATGGTGGAAATACCGACAAAGGAGGAGATGGGGCTTTGGATCCATAAGCGTTACGATGCCAATCAATCATGAACCGGAGTCGTTGTGAGCGCCACGGCAAAGACTGGCCCCGATGCAAACGACGGCAATGGATGCAGCGGTAATTTGGAATGTGACAAAAGCTGCCGACGGTCACGCGGCACTTTTTCCTACGGACGCTACACCGATGCGGGCGCAGTCAGCACACAAAACTAGTCGATGTGTCCTTGAGCCATGTGGATGACCGTGGCCGCTCCGCGAGGACAATGAGGATGCGCAGTGGGGAGTCACGGTAGGCGGCGGACTTCTGCGCCGCCTGTGGTCAGCGTCCTCGCACACCTGCCGCTTGTTGCTGTCACGGCGAGTATACAGTGGGTGGACGTGTGTGCTTCAGTCCCAACCCCTTTACAGCCCCAACTAGCACGGACACAGATACTGAGCCCCGAACACTGCCCTGTGGTCGACGGAAGTTGGCACTGCCATAAAAGAGGATACCAATAGCGCCCGGACGATGCGGACTGAAGGAATCAGTTAGTCTCAGTCAAAATAGTCGCTTGCCATGTGGCTTACGAAATCTATCCGGTGCTGGATCTGCTTCGGTAGAGAGCGTTCAACAGACATCAGGATGAGCCTCTACCGCTTTGGCGGGCAGCACAGAAACCATGTATCTGTGGCGGAAAGCGCGATCCCATGAAGGCTAGAGAAGTTCACCCAGCCATTCTCCAGTTATCACAACAAGGTTAGTGTCCGAATAACTCGGCGGTTTATTCCTTCTGATCTGGACCTTAGTACCACCAAGCATACAGCAACACATGAATAATTAGGGCGGCTCGTGGTTTCCCGTGTCTGACTAAAACGTGTGTACTTTGTAGCTCAATTGTGGAAGGTGGATATGGGGTCCAATTAGAGTCTGCGTGCATGGGGTGACGAGGGAGACCGCTTCGTTTTTGTCGGTGTAGCCATTACTACAAATGTGTTCCTTCCTGAGCTTGAGGCATATCATTTTTTGGAGATAGTCAATGTTTCCAAACAAGCTAGTTCTGTGCCCTCCCCTCTGACTATCCGGAAGTGGGTTCACCAGCGTTGGAAGACGAATGAACTGTAATATATCGGTCCTATTTTACGGCTCACTTAATTGACACTTTGGTGGATTCCTGGATTTGGGACATTTCTTGCCCTCCACTCCCTTTCTGTCACTCTCCTACTTTTACGAACGCAGCTGCACGCTAACGCGGCATTTACTGGACCTCATATTTTGTTGAAAGCAACTGACAAGTGGACCGCAGGCCACACTGGTATCTTGACCGACGTAATGACTCGTGCCATCCACGCAGCGCATTTATTGGCCGATTCACACGAGATGTCTGACGGCCAGTTGCACACGTAATAATCATATGTGTTGAGTTCACCGACTGGTCTGTCGACAGTATGTGGCACTTAGGTGCCAACCCAACAAATTTCATGTATCTCCTTCGGCTAATTCGCGTCACGACTTTCCCTACTTGAACCTCCAGTCGGTGA